GGGGGTTGACTAGAGGTAGAGGGAGTGAAAGGTGGTAGTACGGGAGGCACTGAGCCTGCCTGCCTGGTGCGTATATCGATTTCTTTTTCCAGCGCCTTGTGGCGTCTTAAGGCGTCCCTCTAGGAGGCTTTGGAGTTATCCTTAGCCTGCCTGCGCAGATGGTGAGTTTTAGATTTGTCCTTCAAGGAAGGGCCTCTGGAAGGATTGCCTTCTGCCATTTCAAAGATAATTGAAGAAGATAAGGATCAATATGAGGCGGTTGACACGACCTAGAACAAGGCCAGGAGCCCTGAAAAAATTCTTTTACGCCCCCCCTTTTTACTTCTTCTCTATTATTGTTATAAATATTATTTCCACTTTCTCTGTTTTTTTCTTTTTTTTTTTTTGCAAAATAAAATATAAAGAAAAAACGGGTCCAATCGACCAATGAACGCTAGAGGCCTTGGAGAGAAAGCTAGGCCCTTCCCAGGCAGGACTGGGTGGAAGTGGTGCTGTTATTGCTGCGCTAGCTAAGACAGGCTGCGGGAAGCCAACAGAGTTAGAAAATTAGTCTCCCAAGCAAAAAGGCTGGAGCAAGAAATTGAATTTGGCTCTGAACAGGCCTACGGGTCCTGCTGCTTGAGCTGGAAACACACCGCAGCGCTCGGATCGAGAGAATGAAAAAAACAAAATGGCGCCCGACCACAAGGTGGCACTTAAAATGGCGGCCACCTGCAACGTGGGATTACAGGGCCTCTCAGCAGCGGCAAGAAAAACCTCCCCAGGGACAGTCCAAGGTCCGCAAAGGAGAGGACAGGAGAGAAAGAGGCAAACAACTTTTCCGGAGGAGAAAAAAAGGCATTTGGTGGGGGGAGGGGAACGGAGCGAATTGAAAACGAATAAAATCAAATCGTTAGGAGATCAGAAAAAAAAGGAAAACGGCAGGGTTTAGGCAACAAAGAAGGAATGGGGAGGGTAGTGTGGAGACACTGCTAGCCTTCCCTTCTGTCACCCACTGGGGCGAGAAAAAACGCTTCCCAGGGGAAATTGGCAGTCCAAACCAAATGCGCAGGGCTAAGAGGAAAAAGGAAACACAAATACAACCTGAGAGGAGCGAAAACAATGAGTCAAACTAAGGATTTCTTGAAACAGCCAAGGAGAACTTCGAATCACTGCCTAATCTCGCATAGCATAAACTGGGGAACGCTATGGTGGAGTCACGTGGTGGAAGGAGGAGCGTTCCTCAAAATTAAGCTCAGCCTACAGCAGAGACTGAAGCATCACCCACTTCTGGATGCTCCGAGCAGCTCTAAGGAGAAGTGGCCCACTACTTAACTGTGGCCTGTTCAGAACTGTGCCACACAAGGACTGGGCACACGGACACAGCTCAACTTATGCAAGCAGTGCACCAGGGTACACATATGTGCAAATGCGAACGAGCCTGCCATTTGTGTGGACTGGTTCCCCCGTCATCCCACTTCTCACTGCATCACCAAGCCATAAAGAATGGGGCGCACTGACTAAGTGGATTCAAGGTATTTCCTGAAATACAATTACAGTGCCCATTCAATAAAGTATTTCCCCCAAAAGTTCCACAGAAAGACTTTATTCATTTCATCTTACCACCTTGCCAGAAAAAAAGGAGGAAGCATCTCACACCATCTTTTTCCTACACTGTATCTATGATCATAGGTCAGATCACAGACTACAGTACTGTACTCAACTTAGCCAAAAACCTCATATAAGCAATCACTACTGGAATACTGGATTATTTATTTATTTAAATTATATATAAATATATATTTTATACACTGCTCAAAATAATTTCTCTTCATTCAATGCAACGATTTCTTTTCACTGAATGCAGCCCAGGCAAATCAAAAGGTAGGATACCCATTCTCTATATTACCATGGTTGTTTTTATGCCATCTGAATACATTTGTTTATTGCTTTTATTTCACATTATTAAAATTAATGTAATGCTTAAGATAAAAAACCAGAAGGAAAATTCATTAACCACATTCCAAATTTTATGTTATGTTTTTTATGTTTTTAAACAGTCCTTCGTTAAATTTAAAATTCATGCATAGACAAAAAATGTTCACTTAATAATTAGAATATTCTTAGTAATTCTTTAAGTTATCAGGTAAGATATTTCATAAACAAAAAGCAATTAGGGCAAACATTTGTATTAACTTCTTGAATTCCTCTTTTAAAATAAAAGTTTAAAAACTAATTCAAATCCTCTCAATCTGGAACATTTTTAGTAATTCTTTCCAGAAAAACAAAATAAAAAGCACAAGTAAACCAAGTTCTATCATCATTGTTAATATCGCATCCTGTGTGATTATGATACATGAATTAATGTCCTACACCCATCCCCAATGTTTCAATATTCCTTATATATTAGCAATTAAAATTCAGACTTTGCCATTTTAAGAAAAAAATATGCCTAGAAATAAGTAGGGCTACTCAGCCCAAAAGCACTCGATCATCTATCAATGGTGCCATTAGGTGTTACAGAGAGAGCAGTGGTCACCAACCAGTGGACCGCAGCCCACTGATGGTCCATGAGAAAATATTGGTGGTCCACAGAGGAATGTCCCACCCAAAGCACCGCCCCAAAGCAATTAATCCAGGCTGCACAGGAACACATGGCATGACCACCCGCTGGCCCCCACCCTTTGCCGAGCACAAACCTGCAAAAAGCAGCAGAGCCCTCACCTGCCAGGACAAGGTAATGGTGCTGTTGCAGCAAGCTGGCGGCACAGGCAGGCTGAAGCAGTAATGGAGATGGCCGGAAGGTGCAGGAGCGCCACGCTACTTGCATTTGTACAGCACTTCCACACCTTTCAGCTCACCTCTCCTGGCCTGGGCTCTTCCTCAATGGCCACGGGACGGCCTAGGGCAGGAAAAGTACTGACTGGTGGTGGTGAGAGAGGGCAGAATGGGCAAGTCTGTGCTCACCATCCAGCAAAGGTCTGGAATGGGGCAGCATCGGCATCGGTTTTCTTGTTCCTCTCGGCCCTCTGCTCTGCTGCCCCCCCGCCCCACAGCCCCAGGCATCACTGTTCAGGGAAGGCACAAGAAAAGTGAGCAGAAATATAGCTCTTGCTGGGGTGAAAGAGCTGAGATCGAGGAAGGCATAGGCAAGAGAAGACGTAAGCTGCCATCTTTGAAAAGCACCTCTTTCTGTTGCCTGTTCCCGATCTCCGCTCTTTCGCCCCAGTAGGAGCTATGTTTCTGCTCACTTTTTCTGTGCTGTCTCCAGGCAGCGATGGGGGGGTGGAGGGTAGCAGAGACGTCAGGGCTCAGCAAGCCAGGCCTGGAGGAATGCGAAGAATTGCAGGCAAGCGCCGGAGATACAAGTGTTGGAAATGTTTCCAGCGCACTCTCCTCTGTCCCAAAGTAGGATTGAGTGGGGGGAAGGGAGCAGGGGTAAGGGTAGGAGGGAAAGAGAAGCCCGGCTGGCTTTCCTTTGGCATGGAGTGGAAGGCCAAATGCCCAGACCAAAAGAGCACAGAGGAAGATAGACTCCTAATAACCAGCTGATTTGCACAGGTGACTGCTCAAGCTTTTCTGGCCTCCACACAGGGACTCTTCTCTGCTTGAAAGCAGCGGGAGAAACCTGGAGTTTAGCCTCAAGGAGTCCACTTGTATGGAGGCTGAAGGTGGGGATGTTGCATGGTTCATCTTCCTTGGCATTTCCAGCCCAGTCCTCCTCCCCTCCCCAACTCCAGGCAGCCACACCTGGCAAAGGAGGGACAGGTTTCCTCTGACTTGGTGGAGATATGAAATGATAGCAGACCAGATGGTGGGGGCTCTGCCTTTCTTCCATTTGAGGGGAGCAACATTTCGGCAGAATCTCATCTGCCATCATCAGGTTTCTGTATAGTGTTCGTCTGCCATCATCAGGCTTCTGTATTGTGTTCATACAGAAGCCTGATGATGGCAGATGATATTCTGCCAAAAAGTTGCTACAACTTTAAAAGCACAACTATGACATGAGAAAATACCCAAACAAAACTGAATACCATACAGGTAAGTACCCGCGAAAACTTTATACACACACACACACACACACATACGGTATTCAGCTTTGTTCGGATATATGCATGTATGTATGTATAATTTTTAATATTAAATTTACATTTAATATAAAAATATATATTAAATATATATATATATATATATATTTAAATCATATTAGTGGTCCTTGGGATTTAAAAGTAGGAGTTTGCTGGTCCCTGAGGTCCAAAAGGTTAGCGACCCCGACTTAGAAAGTTGTGTACTTGTAGCATATGCAATGGTAATCTATGAAAGCAAGGCCACAGCCAGCTCTAAATTGCATGTATAAAGGCTATCAGCTTTAATAATATTGAGTTTTATTCAGATGGACCTGTTTGGGAGTGATTCCTATTTGAGTACCCTCTTATATTTGCATACCGTATAAACCTATGTAGCTATTCAGTACTTAAACAGGAGACTTAATGTTCTGAACACAGTGTAAGCTTAAAACTTGGTTAAACAGCGGCTTAATCAATAGCAGCTCTACTTTGCTACTATCTCTCACGTGGAATATCGCTCTTCCATGTGGGGGAGATTGGGAGTCCCAAGATCAAACTTTTGAAGAATCTGTTCCCACCCTAAATCTATTAATCCGCTATAAAGATTTTACCCACCCAACATTTGAAGGATTATTGAAAAAGTTCCCCTTTCCTTCTCCCTACATTTTTCTAATGACTCCCGAGCACTATTGTCTTCCAGTGGCGTATTAAAGTTCACTGGTGCACTAAGCACTTACAAATTTTGGTTCTCCCCCCCCCTTTTATACATACAAGATTTTTTTTTACAAATCTTCATTGTTTTTTCTTTCTCGACTTTGTGGTGCCCGCTTTGGGCCTGGTGCCTTAAGCACGTGCTCAGTCTGCTTAATGGTTAATACATCACTGCTCTAACTAAACGGTATAGTTCCCCACTCCCGCAGGCCATCTTAACTATGGCCGGGCAGTAATCCTTACCTCCAAAAAGATGAGGCGAAAGATGCGCGGGCAGCGAGCCGATAACTAGCCGGGGTCCTCCGCTTCTCTCGCCGGGTCCTTCTGCGCGTCCACTCGCGGTGGCTCGTTCCCGCCCCACTTCCTCGGGAGTGCTGCTGACCGAGTCTTGGGAGCCATAGAGGCCGCTGCTATTGGGGATGTTGAAGGCAGAATGAGCCGTTCGAGTCCCGGAAGTGGTTGGCCCACCCAAAGACCTACTCCTGGGGGCTGCCAAAGGGGGAGCCGCCGTCGCCGCCCCACTGCTCATCGAGGAGCCAGAGGCTGCGTGGTGCGCTCCAGGCGCCAGGTGTGTGTACCGCATCGCTCTGCCTATCGGCCGGCCGCCCATCCCATTAACGCTGCTGCCGCCGCCGCCCGACGGCAAGTCTCCCCCGGAGTAAGCCCGCGTTCGGCCGTTGGTGGCCGCCGGGCCGCTCTGCTTAGCGCCCATGGTCCGTCCTTCGCTACCACCTTCTCTTTCTTCTGTCTTATCCCGCAGTTCCTTTCAGTGGGATCCGCCGGCGAGACGGAGTAAAGAAGAAACGTCCACCGCTCGTCCTTCCAGCCCGAAAGCCAAAGCACCACCAGGAAGCGGTAATTCAGCTAGCGGCCCCGGGGCTGCGAAGGTGCTTCTACCTCTGCGGGATACTAGAAGCAGTGACAGGAAAGGCTCCAGCAGCTATAATCGCGGCGCGGAATAACGGCGCCGCTGCAGTTGCGGCTTGAGAGCTCTCCCCGCAGTTTCCGCCATCCTTCCGCCTTCTCCCTTCCCGAGAGCCAGCAAAGCGGCCGCAGTCGGCCACTCGCCCATGAAGCCGCTTCCCCGCCTCGGGCCGATTCCCCCGCGCTCACTCAAGTGCAAAGCAAAGGGGCGGCACCGCTACGTAGCCGGTCGGTCGCTCACTCTTTTTGTATTGCCTTGTCGCTGTAATGGCGGGAGGGAGATGGGAGGCGGGGAAACTCCGGCCGCCTTCTACTCCGCCCTCTGGCAGTCCCGGAGGTAACGCACCCAACCCTTTCCGACGGGTGGAGCAGAAACGCAGGTTCGCATGCGCTTCGGCCCGAGGGATAAAGCAAGCGCCAACCCATCCGACTCGCGCGTATTCCGCTTTTCTTTGCGACCCCCTTCCTTCTCTGGCCTTGTTGCTTTTAATCCGCTGCCGGCCGATCAGCAAGTTAAGCTTTTCTCGGTGCAGAAAGAGGGCTATTTCAGTTTCTGCCTGGCAATAGTTGTTACAGGCGTGGAGGAGGGAGGCAAATCTGCGCTGTGTTCTATTGGACACATGTTAGAAACGGAAGGAACCTATCAATCGCCTGTTCACGCTCGAGCCTTCAAGTGTCAATCGTATCCGCTCAGACTCGCTCAAACGGATTAATTTGGGGTGCCTGGTGGGGAGGGGAAAGGATACAGCACGTAACTTCTGTCCCGAGAAATATATCCACGGTTTTAAATTGGAAAATACAGTAAAGTAGGAGGTTCGATCTCATTTATTCCTGATATTTATCGTAAGGACGAGGAGTGAAATGTAGCTTACCTAAGGGCACTCATGTTATTTATACAGGGTTCTGCCTGGCCCGGTACTTTTCCAAAATTATCGGACTAAAATTCCCACAATTCCAAAGCATATTAGCATGCGCCTGGGAAGTTAGGATTAGAATATTTCTGGAGGATCCCAGAGTTAAAAAAAAAACTGTTGGAAACTACTATATTTTGCCAGTTGGAAGCTTCTCATTGTTTTTTATTTATTTATTAGAAGCAACGACAGTAATGATGTAAAATAATTTCCTTTGGTGCAGGGGATCGCCGTTTATAGCTGTTGTAACTGTTATATAGGCAATCTAAAATTTTGTATTGCCTTGTGGCTTTAATGGCGGGAGGGAGATGGGAGGCGGTGATATAATTAACCTCTGGTCTGTCCTTTTTAGTAATACATAATTCCAGTACTAAGTTACTTTAAACTTTTAGTAGTTACAGCTTTATACGGTAGGTTTCACAGCAAGTACTGTAAATTGGTCTTTTAATTTCTCAAAAGCATAACAAAGTTTCTGCAAAATTATCTTAATGGGGGTATGACTTTTCAGTTTTACCACTTGTTAATGTATCTTGAATCATTGTAAAACTTATTTCATAAATTGATTACAGATTAAAGGCCACATTTCCCTATTACCTAGCTACGCTGCAAAATCCAAATGATAAATTCTAAAATGGAAATATCAGCACTGATGGAGACTAGACTGCCTTTTGTCAATTCTGATTTTCCAAACCAATTGTGTGGACATCTCCCACAGTATATCGAGAGGAAATCTAATGACACTTGATAATTAAGCCATTATAACACTCTATGAGAAAGAGATTCCCCCTCCAACTGTCTGCCTCAAAAAATATGCTGCAATGGAGAGGGGAGGAGGAGAGGGGAGGAGCTGACGTCGCGACGGTTACGGTCTGCAATCGAATTCCAAGATTGCAGCCGATATCTTTGTCCCTGGCCAGTCCAAACAGACCTAAACCGCCCCGTAGAGATGGTGATAGCGAAGGGCACATCCTGTGGATCCCAGGGACACCACAAAGTCCCTGGTTAATTCAGGAGAAGTCCCTTTTGCCGCCGGTGGAGAGGCAGCCCCAAAGCTGCCGAAGTTGGGACAGCTCCAGAAAGGAAGAGACTGAAAGAGAAAGTGTGTTGGCCGGGTGAGAATCTTTTTTTCACTAATATTTTGAGACTTGAAAGGACACTCTAAGTATAAGAAGAAATCTGTAAGACTTTTTACAAAATTGAATAAGCGGCAATTTTTAAAGGTGAGGCTTGGCTTTTTATTTCTTTACTTTTTTTACTGGACTTTATCGTGACGTAGCAGTTAACTGGACTGAATTTTCCTTTATTTATATTCTTTTTTTCTCTTCTCCTTTTTGATTTTTCATTTTTTTTTTATTAGAGGCTCCCTTTTCTTTTTATATATATATGTATATACTTTCTCTTTTTTTTTTTACCTCAATTACGTTTTTCTGGGAAGGGAGGGGGAAAGTGAGAACAAAGAAACTTTGTAACACTGCCAACTAGAGGCTTGAAAATATTTTATTTGAAGTGGAGAGAACTGTGAAAGACTCCTTCTCAAGGACATTGCAACTTGATAAGATAGAGGGAAGAGCGCGGGAGAATATTATTACAGGTGTTCTTCTGGACTTCTATCAACAATCTAACACTTGAAGCTTGGCTTTGAAGTCTGTGGAGAAGAGAGTCATAATAAGAGCCTTGGACAATTAAATAAAGTGCAATGTGTTTTCTTCTATTTTCTTTTAGTTGTGTTACCCCTCCTTACCAGCTCTACTGTAAACTTTTATTTTTGCAATATTTTTATTTTTGTCTTTTATTTTAAAGGGAAAGCCTCAAAATTTCTCCTTTTTCTTTTTTTTCATTGGGATTTTTGCTTCTTCCATCCATGTTTTTGGTTTATTTCGGTTTCTTTTTATTACTGAGATCTCTCAATTGGATTAAGGTGTGAAGAACCTGAAGAAACTTTTTTCTTATTTTTTTTTCTTATTATTATTGGGCTTTTTCTTCTTATTTTTATCCTTTATTGTGGATTATAATTGACTATTTCATAATTGGATTAAGGTCCAGAAGAACCTGAAGAATTTTTTCTTTTCCTTATTTCTTTACTATCACTGGGCTTTTTACTCTCTATTATTTTTATTTCCCACTTTGGATTATAATTGGCTACCTTACTAATTGGATTAAAGTCTAAAAGAAATTGAAGGTCTTGAATTGTTCAAAATGAGTAGGAAACTCATACCTTCTGGCATCTCTATCTTTACTTCTGCCTCCCCACTATCTGGAGGACAACGTTTAATTCAGACAAGATAAAGATAAAGAACAAGAAAAAGTGACTCTACAGATGATTATGCAAGGAATCCAAGATCTTAAGACAAAATTAGATACCATTGAAAAGAGAACAGAGAATATTGAACAAAGAATAGAGAACATTGAACAAAGAACAGGGAAGACCAATGAAAAAATTGAAAATATCCAACAAATGATGGCGAAGTATGATGAGAGATTCCAAAAAATTGAAGAAGATAAACAAAGAGAGGAGAAGATTGGAAATATTGACAGCAGATTAACAGTGGTTGAGCAAGATAAAAGTGGGATGCTGAAGTGGGAGATGGAGAGGTCAGAATTCTATCTCAGATTTCAAAATATAGTGGAAGAAAAAGGACAAAATTTAGCTGCAATAATGATAGAAATTCTGGCTGAAGCTTTGGAAATAACAGAGGAAAAGATGATGGATGGAGTAGATGAGGTATACCGAGTCTTTACAAAATATGCGATGAGAAACAATTTACCAAGAGAAGTTCACATTAGATTTACCAAAAAATCCATTAAAACACAAATATTACAAGTGGCAAGAGAGAAGACGTTGAAATACAAAGACAAGGAGATTGTGGTCTTAAAACAAATACCTAGAAGAGTGAGAGAGATGAGAAGAGAATATCGATTTTTGACTAAAATGTTATTGAAAAAGGAGGTGAATTATAGATGGTTGATTCCAGAAGGACTAATGTCTACATGGCAAGAACAGAGACACAGAATTGATTCAATTGAGAAAGCAGAACTTTTCTACGTATAATTTTTTGGAAGGAGAGAGGAAGAGGCAGAAAAAGAGGTCTCACTAATTGAATTCCAAGAGGACCAAATGGGGACTGAAAAAGAAGAAGGCGCAGTAGGTGGACAGGTGGAAGTCAAAGAACAATGTGAACCAAGATCTACGAGAGCTGTCAAACCTAATTACAAAATATAATCATGGAAGAGAAAAAATTGATCACAATGAATATAAATGGACTTAATTCAGCTGTTAAAAGAAGGGAAATCTTTCATAAATTAGAGAAATTAAAATTTGATATAATTTGTTTACAAGTACATATTAAAAAACAATATGAACAATTGTTAGTACAGCCAAAATTAGGGAAAATATTTACTTCTTTGACTCAATGTAAGAAAAGAGGAGTGGTTTTATACATTAAAGAGGCTATCCCAACAAAATTGATTTATACCGATGAAGATGGAAGAGTATTAATGGTGGAAATAATGGACAATAATATAAAAACACTCTTGATTGCAATTTATGCCCCAAATGATAAACAAGAAGAATTCTATAAAAATTACACTTGAAATGATGGGCGATTTTAATGGAATTGTGGACAATAAACTGGACTATATAGCAATAACAACAAAGCAAAACAGAAAGACTCTCCCTAAATCCTTTTTTAAAATGATAGATGAATTAAATCTAAAAAATATATGGAGAGAAAAAAATGCTAAAACTAAACAATATACTTTTTATTCAAACAGACATTTATCATGGTCCAGATTAGATATGATTTGGATCTCAACAGAACTAATATCTAACATTCAAGAAATAAATATTGAAACAAGTACTTGGGCAGACCATAATCCAATGACAATTAAATGGAAAGGACAAAAAAAAAAGATCGAGATGGACGCTAAATAATACTATTTTAAAGGAAAAAGATTTTACACAATGGATCAAGAAAGAGAAAATAAAAAAGAAGATACTTCAATTCAGAATGTTTGGGATACAATGAAGGCATACGCTAGAGGCTTGATAATAGACTATATAAGAAAAAAGAATATCAGGAAAAGCCAAGCCACTAAAGTTTTGGAAGATGAGTATAAAAGACTTGAAAAAGAATTACAGAAAATGCCACAGAAAAGATATTAAACTAAAATTGGACATAATTAAACATAAGATGGGTCTAATAGAGAAAGAAGAATTGGCACAGAAAATTAGAAGTGCTAAACAGAACTATTTTGAAGACGCAAATAAACCAGGTAGATGGCTAGCATATAAATTGAGAAAGGAGAAAGAATCAAGGAAAATATCGCAGTTAATAGATGATCAAGGTCAAGTTTGCTATGGTAATAAAGAGA